ACCCTCGAACGCTTTGACCCATAGCCCCATGTGGAGAGAGGTCCCTGAGCCACTCTGCTTATCAGATGATTCTCATTTTCCCTTCCAGTTGCCATTACTGTGAATCCTGACTGCCGAGTCCTGGAGCTCCAGGTGCCCGGGCTTCCAGATGTGGACAGCAACGCGTCAAAGCCTGCTGGCCCAAACACTCCCTCCACAGTCTCTGTCCTGGTGGGGAAGGAAGGGTTTGCAGCTGGGAAACACTACTGGGAGGTGGAGGTGGGCCAGCAGCAGGACTGGGTGGTGGGGGTGGTGAGGGAGAAAGGGAGACAGGCAGAGGGAGGGAGCCTTCCTGGGGAGGGCTACTGGGCTCTGCACATGTCCCAGGGAGAGATTTTCTCTAGCGAAGGAGACTGCAAGATTGCAAAACAGCAGACAAGTTATTCAGTGATTGGTGTGTTTCTGGACCTGGACAAAGGACGGGTGAACTTTTATGAACCAGAGCAAATGGGCATCATGGTGAGAATGCCTCTAATGCTTGGAAAGGAACCTGCAGAAACATTTTACCCATTTCTATCCAAAAGGGAAGGTTCGCTCACACTTCGTACCCACCCCGTCTCAATCCCTGTCCCTTTGGAGACACTGTAAAAGGAAATTTCAAATCATATGGGTTCAAATGGGTTTTCAAATGCTTTCAAATCAAATGGGTTGTAGAATCATGTTCTCTGCCAAGAGGTCATGGTGAAAGGAGGAGAGACTAGAATAGCTTAGGACATCAGCAATTATAAAATAAAATGAGTAGTACTGAGGAACAAAACAGGAAGCATTGAAAAAAGGGGAGAAGTAATGAGAGAAAATTACAGTGTCTCAAAAAAGAAAAAGAAAGTATTTTGAAGCAAAAGAACTTTTTAATATTATTTGTTCTCAACTAAGAGAACTGTGAAAACGTCTAATGATTGCTTTTCAGTGGAGAATATTCTCAAAGCTCTGTGTCAATTCCAAGATGTTTATAAACCATCAAAAAAATGCACTCTTGTAAGTAAGAGCAGGATAAGGAGAATATTTTCTAAATTGTTCTTTCTGAGTGATCCAAGAGGAATGGTTATGAAGAAAATCAGTGCTTGAAGTAAAAACAGAACATTAGAAGTGTTTGGCTATTTAGTTAAACCATTTAAGTCATTATAATTGTTAGGGAATCTAACCTTTGCCCTTGTAGAGACATTCTCTGTTGTCTCTTTAATTAGAACACAGTTTGGTGACAAGGATAATTTTTCCCCATTTGAATGTATTTTTTACTCCTCATTAATACAGCCTTGAGCACTTGTGACAATGGGATGGAGGTAGCAACCCCATGGTCCAGTAGCTGCCTCCCCAGGGAGAGATTGTCAGTTGTTGTGCTGGTACTGCTAAAAAAGGAGTTATGGCTCCCCCCTCTAAGCTGTTAGATTTCTCTATCTCTCTTTACATTTAAACACCAATTGTGTTCTGTTCTCCGAGCATGTAAAAGTGTAATATAACTTTCCCAGTGGAGGTTAAAGCAGACGGTTTTTTTGGGCTGCTATCCACCTTGAATTTGAATCTGACCCCTCTTGTTCCTAGTAAGACTTGGCAGAAGTAACATTCAAAGCTGGTTCTAAATGAAACCTATAGTGCTTTACTTTGAGTTTCATATGTTCCCGACATCGACTCAAGCTGGTTTAGAGATTTGATGAACTGAAAGGAGCTAAGTTAAGTGTCTGTGGAAAAAATCTGTGGAAAAAATCTGCCATGGAGAATGGAGAAAAAACATGTAACTGAATGCCTGAAGTTCTCATCAAACATGAAACCATTACACAACTTTATAATAAACTGTACGTAAACTAATCTTCATACCATCTGCACTTTCTTTTCATTTTATTTCCTGTTTTCACACCCACCTTGGTTAAACTTTGACAGGCTGATGGAAGAGTAAATAATTTTTCAGTCTCTAAACTATTTGCTGTCCAAGATATTCAGAGTTGCTTGTGTCAAAATAGTCAAATTCCAGTTAGAAATGGTATTAGGTTTACATGCCAAAGTTTTGGTAGCTGGAGGTGGGGAAGCTGCAGGGGTAGCCTCTATGAGAAGACAGTTGTGGGCTCCACAGCAGAGACACCCCTTCAGCCCATGGAATTTTTGGAAGAATCTGTGGTGGAGCAGGTATTTCCTTGCAGTCTCTGGAGACATCGCACTGCATCCCATGGAAAACTTAAACCTGGAGCATGTGCATATGCCCTGAAGGAGCTGAGGTCCATGGAAAGCCCATGGTGGAGCAGGGCTATCCTGAAGGACTGCAGCCCACAGAGATCCTATCCTGCAGTGGGTTCTTGTGAGAGGAACTGCAGCCCATGGAGGAGCCATGTTTTAGCAGATTAATCCTGAAGGACTGTAGCCCATGGAGAGGATCAATGCTGGAGTAGGAGAGAAGTGTGAGTAGGAAGGCGTGACAGCAGAACAGTTACGAACCTCTCAGAAGACCAAAAGGAGTTGTACACCTGAAGGGATACTGTTCAGAATGTAGAGTGGAATAGAGTTGCTTTGGTTTAGGTGCCCTCAACTTAGGCTTTATTCCGTGTAAGTGTATGTCCAGTAGAAATCTCCAGGTGAGTTGGTCACCTTAAGGTGCCCAACTTTGCCCAATACATCCTGATTTTGCAGTGTGTTCATCCTCTGGAGTGGGGCAGCAAAGAGCCTGCCCAGTGGGATGCAGGTGTCAAATGGATGTGTTTCCTTCCGGTGCATCAGGCATAAGGTTGGTCCACAAACAGAAAGATGATGAACAGATTTAAACAGGGAAAGGAGCTTAGCAAACGCAGAGTGTTTTTAACCCGTCACATACCGTGTCATTACCAGTGTGATGGCAGGATGTAGGCAAACTTTTGCATGATTGGGAAGACCAGGCATCCGATTACGAGAAAAGGGCAGCCTGCAGCATGTAGCAAAACTCTTATAACCCACAAGCTCCTTATCGGGATGGATGGCATGGAGCAGACGAATGGAAAACAGTAAGAGGCTGCTTCCCACCGTGCATGGGACTTTACACAATTGCTAGTCAAAGAAGCCTCAAAAATCCATGGAAGAATGCACCTGCTGGTCTTTTTCATCCCTTCACGGTCTTGCTCCAGGTGGTCAAGTCTGATACCACCATGAGAAAAACAGACTCAACTTGGGGAAAATTAATTTAATTTATTGCTAGTTAGAATCACAGAATGGTTGGGGTTGGAAGGAGCCTTCAGAGATCATCAAGTCCAACCTCCCTACCAGAGCAGGTTCACCTACAGCAGGTTGCACAGGAACACATCCGGGTGGCTTTTTGAATATCTCCAGAGAAGGAGATTCCACACCCTCTCTGGGCAACCTGTTCCAGTGCTCTGGCACCCTCAAAAAAAAGAATCATAGAATCATAGAATGGTTTACTTTGGAAAGGACCTTGAAGATCAAAAAGTTCCAACCCCCCTGCCATAGGCAGGGACACCTACCACTAGACCAGGTTGCCCAAGGCCACACCCAGCCTGGCCTTGAACACCTCCAGGGATGGGACCTCAACAAGTTCTCTGGGCAACCTGTTCCAGTGTCTTATGAGCCTCAAAGTGAAAAAATTCTTCCTAATGTTTAATCTAAAACTGCCCTCTTCCAGTTTGAAGCCATTCCCCCTCGTCCTATCACTACATGCCCTAGTAAAAAGTCCTTCCCCAGCTCTCCTGTAGGCCCCCTTTAGGTACTGGAAGGCCGCAATAAGGTCTCCCCAGAGCCTTCTCTTCTCCAGTCTGAAGAGCCCCAACTCTCTCAGCCTCTTTCTTCATGTTGAGACAGAATTTCCTGTGTGCCAGTTTGTGACCATTTCCCCTTGTCCTGTTGCTGTGCACCACTGAAAAGAGTCTGGCCCCATTCTCTTGACACCCGCCCTTTAGATATTGATAAGCATTGATGAGATTCCTCTCAGTCTTCTCTTCTCCAGGCTAAACAGAGCCAGGTGTCTGGGGAGCCCAGAAGTGGACACAGTGCTCCAGATGTGGCCACACCAGGGCAGAGTAGAGGGATAGGATGACCTGTCTCCACGTGCTGGTCGCACTCTTTTTAATGCACCTCGGGAGACCATTGGCCTTCTTGGCCACCAGGGCACATTGAAACAGACACAAAATCTAAAACACCTTCCCCTGTGCTCCTGTTTCCCAGGGTCAACTTCACTCCTTTACCTCTAACTCCTCTACCTCTCCCCACCTCTGAGTGGTGCAGGGGGTTGGAGAATGGGGAGTCATGGTCAGTTGGTAGGAGGTCCTCTCTGCCAGACCTTCCCCCTCACAATTTTCCCCTGCTCCAGCATGGGCTCTCTGTGGGCTGTGGTCCTTCAGGATAAACCTGCTCCCACATGGGCTCTCCACGGGCTGCACCTTCCTGCAGAGAATTCCCACGTGCTGCAATATATGGACCTTGAGGTGCTGCAGTGTGGGTACCTTCTCCACTGTGGTTCTCTCCACAGGCTGTAGATGAACTTCTGCTCTGGTAGCTGGAGCACCTCCTCCCTTTCCCCCTTGTCCGACCTTGGTGGCGGCAGGGTTGATTCACATTTTTTCCTTACTGTTGTGCTGCATTTTGCCCTATCATAAACATGTCTTCTGAGAGGTGCCAACTAGCTTCACGAATTGGCTCAGCTTCCACCTAGGGTCGGTCCATTTTGCAGCTGGCTTGAATCAGCTGCACCCCACATGGAAGCTGCCCCTCACTTTTTACCACAGAGGACACCTTTGCAGACCCCCTGCTACTAAGACCTGGCCACAGATACCCAACACACCCAGAAAATATGTTTCTTATGTTTACCTAATATCTCACACTAGACTCCTTGATTTTATTTTTCACGAACAGGTGAAAGACATTTCTTATCATGTTCCTGGTAGTGCAGAATTGCTCCTCCTACTTCAGTGGTAATGAGTCACCTTGTTCCTTCCTGTATTTTTTAAAATCTCTAGACAGGACACTCCTTTCAAAAGGTAAGAGGACAAGATTATTATTATTATTATTTAATGTTAGAAAGGATGCACAATGAAAATAGCAAAAGAATATATTCTAGACCTCTTTTGGGGCAGGTGTATTCTATTTACTACTTCACAAGTGATAACTGAGGATTAATGAATGAGAAGAAATAAAGTGAAGGGTGTCTTAGTGTTAGTAAAGAAGCAATATTTTAATAACTAAACCTATGAGCATTTATGTTGGTTGATCAGGTACTGCTCTGAGATTTGTTCTGTAGTTTTAGTTACTTTATCTCATTGAACCGATACTTTGTTGATATATAGTGTTCTTCCAATGTGGTTGATTGAAAATATAACATCCCCTGCTTTGGAGTGGTAAATATCTATTTAAATGGTCTGTGTAATACAGGTATAAATATTTAGCATAGCAGGGAATTAAGGGCCGCAGAAGAAGAATGCAAACATAAAAATCAGTGACAGCCAGATACACATTTTGCTGTTTTCATTTGTTCTAAATGTTGAAGAGTTGAGATACAAATGTTAATACCCCATCCTTCAAATAGACTATCATGAAAAGATGTTGCAAATACCAGTTGGTACTCAGAATGTGGGTAATTGTGCATTTTGATACGTAGCTGAGCTTTTGTGCCAAGCAGCTCAGTGTGACTCTGGGCTTCAGTAAAGCAAAGGGAGGGGGTTTCCCTGGGGATGCCTTATTGTCCTCTGACCTGCCTTTCTGGTGATTGGCATGATGTCTGGTGCTTCCTCACACCGTGTTTGCATTGCCTTCCACTTATACTCTGTGCATTTAAATGCTAGACCCTTGAAAGTCATGGTGGACTCCCCAGGTGCTTCCTTACAGCAATAACAGTTCCTCCAGTTTCTCCACCAAACAACCCTTTTTCTGCCCTTCACCAGTTCACCAACATTTTCTGCTAAGAGAGGACAAGAGTACAAGTTTGTTGGGAGTTAAGGTAGATTGCAGGTGCAAGATAACGCAGCCATAAAGATAGGGAGTGGGGTGTCCTAATTGCTTTAGCCAGGCTGTGTGAGGAACACAGGAGGAAGACAGTGGCTGATGAGAGTAAAGTTACAAATGACTGGGTACAAGTGAGCCGCAGTGTTACACCTCTGCAGAATACATTTCTTTTCTCAGGCCTCCTGAGCCTGGAAAATTTTCCAAGGACGCTGTGGGAGAACCAGACCAGGCAGTCGCTCCCATTCTCTCTCGTTTATGCATGAGGGCCACACCTGCTCATCTGTAATGAAGAAAAAGCAAGATTTTCTGTGATTCTCTGTCACATCTTCATCCAGGGTAGTGTTCTTAGCCAGACCCTCCTGTACCAGGTGACACGGTGTTGCAGAATCAAAGTAGGGTTGGAAGTATAAAGCACAGCCCAGTTTCCTAGACACATGCAACAGGACATCATTGCATGAGAGACTAGTAATATGTGCACAGGACTGGAAGTGGGCATCCTGGACTTCTGGCCTGCCATCCTAATCCGTTTGAAGTCAGATGTTCCTATGCCCAAGAGACTGTCAGGGAATGGGAACAGGCAGTTTTTATCTCAGAGAAAGGAGGCATGAGCTCCAGGTGACCCCACCAACATGACACATTCCCACAGGATCTGCACACGGCAGGCAGAGTAAAAGCGCTGCCTTTGTGTTTCTGTCTTTAGTAAGACTCATTCCTCTCTGTTTCATTCCTCCTGGGAATTCTTTCTCATTTTCACAGCACATCATCCACTTCCAGGGGGAACAGAAGCAATTTGACTTGACCCAAATGGCAGTTTTGGAGGATTTATGGAATAAGTGCTCAGAAAGGAAGCTTGTGCTAGTCCTGCTCTTTGCTCTTCTAACATGTGCTTTTATTGCACAGTGGTTCAGAGGTAAGACTATGAGTGTCTAACCTGGAGCTCAGCTTTCTGTTTTGGATCCAGCTGACACATGTGGCTTTCTGCCCTCTATGGAAAGATTACACTCATGTGGAAAACCAATGCATTTGCTCCTACCTCTTCCTTGCAGGTGAAGGGCCTATCATCATCAGCATCGAACCATCAGTTGTCCTTGTTGGAGAGCAAGTGAGTCTGTCCTGCCAGGTGACAGACAGTGTCTCCTCTAATGCGAGCGTGCTTTGGTACAAAATGGAAAAGGGGAAGGGTGCTCCACTGTGCTCTTCCTCCAGCCTGGGTGGGGTGGTGGAGCAGAGTCAGGATGAAGAAGAGTGGAGGATCGCGGGACACTGGCAGGGAAAAACACTTCTTCTGGTTATCCGGCAAGTGCAAGTAGCTGACGAGGGGACATATGTTTGTGCAGTGAATGGCAGTGTTGTCACACAGGAGGCTACTCACCTTGATGTTACAGGTAAGAAGGGAGAATTCCACAGTGAAATGCAACCTGCTATGACCATGCTGAGTTCAGTTCCCATCGTGACTCGGTGGCTCTGCCTATTCCTTGCTGGACAGCTAAAACCAGGTCATGGTTTATCTCCAGTAGGCAGCTAAGCATCACAGAGCCGCTTGTTCATTCCCTGCCTTGGTGATATGGAGGAGAGAATCTGAAGGGTCAAAGTATGAAAACTCGTGGGTTGAGATAAAGACAGTAAAACAAAAGACAGGTAAAACAAAAGCTGTACATGCAATCAAAGCAAAATATGGAATTCATTCACTACTCCCCATCGGCAGGCAGGTGTTTAGCCATCTCCAGAAAAGCGGGGCTCCATCGCACATAATGGTTACTTGGAGAAATGGGGAAATAAGCAAAGATGAGGAAGAAGCTGGAAAGACTTGCTTCAATTCTGAATATCTAAAACCTGGGCACTGAGGGGGACAAGGCATGTGGCTTTTCATGTGGGAAATAGTGCAACAGGAAACTCCATTAAGATGTTGAATATCCCTATATAGGGGCTGAATCATTATTTCTCTGTGGTAAAATACCCTAAAGCTCACTGTTGTTGGAGTCCAGGTAAATGACCCCTTCAATCTGATCAGGTATGGTTGTTTTTATGAGCTATGAATCTTTAGAGCAACATACTGAGGCTTTCTGAGTTTTGTTGGTTTATTTTGTTGTTGTTGTAGTCATTTTGCAGTAACTCTAACTCTGTCTCATGCTCATTGACTAACTCTCTTACAGCAATCGGGTATAAGCCAACTTTGGACAGGGATCTGCAAGAGAAGAGTGTGTGTCGCTACACATGTAAGTCAAAAAAATGGTACCCAAAGCCTGAAGTCGTTTGGATGAACTATGGAGGAGACACAGTAAATGTGGAGGCCGAGACCAATGTAACCTGGAGTGAGAGAGACCATTTCACGGTGCAAAGCATCATCACAGTTCCTTGTGATAACATAGATGTGGTGTGTGTAGTCAAACTCACCAAATCCAAGATAAGCCGATCAGGTAGGTCATGTTTTCACACCTACATCTGCTTTGTGGAGGCAAACAGACCCCTCCATTATTGCTAGAAAAGCTGAAATTGGACAGGTCTTGGCACCTTCCCTGAAGCCCCATGCATCCTGCAGTATCTTACTCTTCAGGAGAAACCTTTGCTGGTGGGCAATGGAGGTTCGGGTTGGCCTTGTGGCATCTGCAGGGGAACACCATGAATCGATCACCCAGGAAAGTACTGAGAGCAATCTTCTCACTGCTCTGCCTCTTTGGGCCGAGTTCAGCTGTAGGTTTAAGGGCTCGTAGCCTTCCCTTATTTTTAACAGCCTGAACCTGAGTATTTCTTCTCCCAAGTAACAAGCAATAGGACAAGAGGAAATGGCCTCAGGTTGCACCAGGGGAGGTTTAGATTGGCTATTAGGAAGAATTTCTTCACTGAAAGGGTTATCAAACATTGGAACAGTCTGCCCAGGGAAGGAGTGGAATTGCCATCCCTGGAGGTATTTAAAAGACGGGTAGACGTGGTGCTGTGGGATGTGGTTTAGTGGTGGTTTTGGCAGTGTTAGGTTGATAGTTGGCCTCGATGATCTTAAAGGTCCCTTCCAAACTAGATGATTCTATGATTTTATGATTCTATGATTGTTATCTCTTTAGCATCACTTCTGTTTTTGCCCTTGTCACTGAAGGGACGAGCTGTATCACTTATGGTCTGGGAAGAGCTTCTTGTACACAGTCCTGTCTGTTTTCATTTATTTCAGCAGTTTCATTCTTCCACACAGAAAGCTTATATGACTCTTTCAAGTGTGGAATTATTAAAAATTAAATGCTCGAAACCCAGAAGGTTTTGATTAGAGATGAAAAAACAACAAAAGTGCAGGTGTTCTGTGAGATCTCTTTCATGCCATACTTGGTGTTTCTGTGTCGTGCCAGATGTGGTGGTGTTAAATTGCTTCTGTTACAGGTGCCATGAATGAAATTGTGCCACAGTCAAGCACTTGTACATACAAGGGCAGAATAAGAGGTTCCTATGTAAAGCCCAAAGTGATGTGGGTTAATCCTCAAGGAGAAGAACTATCTTCATTGGCCCAGACAAGCATCATACATGAGATGGACAATATTTTTGCAATAGAAAGCTCCATTGAGATACCCTGTGGACAACCACCACCTTCTTTTGTGACTACTGAGAGGGAACACAGTCCACTGATTGCTCAACAGTCAGGTATGCAGCAATTGAGACCTATTTCATGTGCTTTGGCATTCTCTGAGCCAGTGAAGCTACCCTCATTTTGCTTGGTTACCTCATCAGCCTCCACTAATAAGAAGGCTGGGCCTAATGCTGTGAATTATTTCACTCAGTTGCCCACAACACTCAATAGTTGAATTCATTTGGGAGTGTCGCCAAAATTCACAACTGGCCCATGCCAAGCGAGGAGAGAGGCAAGGACACAAAGTATAGAACTGCAAGAGGAATTCTTTTATTCATGTGCATGAGGTGTCCCAGCCAAATTGGGAACCCCAAATGTGTTTTTACACATGGTTCTTCTACCTTTCAAGTGTTCAGTTACAACATGATTTGACTAATTGCTACTTAACTCACACACACTACAATGATATTTCCATGGTGCCATCATCCACCTACTTCTTTATTGATCTAGATGTCCCTGGAGTCAGCCTTGCTACAGTTGCTTGTCTATGACACCAGATAATGGGAGGGTTTAACGGAGGCGTTAGAGGAGCTAGGATGCTGCTGTTATCTCAGTAGTCCAGGAGTATTCTTTGTTCTTCATGGACAACTTTAAGATTCTGAGAAACAAAGGTCCTTATCCCCATGTGGGGCTGTCGTCCTCCTTGCAATGAGCTGTGCTCCTTTCCTCATGCTTACTTAAGCATGATTACTCAGTATACAATGTAAACTACATATATCTAAAGAAAACTGATATAATTTCATACTATAAAGACTAACAGGTACAGAAGTTAGGGAATGAGACTTTGCCTAAGAGGTTCCTATTGCTCAATACTTTGAGGAAGTCAAGGAATCTGCAGTCATGACATCCCACTGTCAGGACTGTAGTTGAAATGGGAAGAGTATATGCTAAGCCCAGGAAAGCCAGGAAGACAGTGGGCTCCTAAGCTAAATGCACACTAGCCTGTTTCGCAGCAGGAACCTGTGTTTTTCAACGCTGGCAGAGAAGTTTTTCTGGCAGATCTTCAGACCATCAGCTGCTGAGATTTGTACCAAAGACTTAGCATTAGGCTGTTAGAGGGTCATTCTGCCTGGAAGGTCATGTTGAGCAGGAAGGCTAAGGCTGAGCTTTCCTCTAAAATTTCTTCTTGGTGAAAGCTTTGAAGGGCAACTTGTCTTAAACGAAAATATTTTCATGGCATCACTTAGAACAGTATCACTCACTTCAGACAGAGCAACCTCTTCAATACAAATAGAGACCAATTGCAAAGACTAAAAATAGTAAAAAAAACTTCCAAAGGAAAAAAAAAAAAAATCATGCCTCCCAGTTTATGTGAAATCTGTTTCTCAGTGTGTGTATGTGGAAAATCCTTGGGCATGAGGCAGTGAATTTAAAATGGAACTATCAGTATCTCATTTCAGTTTTCTTTAAGACTTTTTGTGTTCCTCAAAATCTTTACAGATGTTTTTGCTGAAAGTGTTCTCCAGGACACCATACTCAAAAAGTGCAGATTATGTGACCCCATGACTCTCTGTACGTATGTGCTATACTGACACAAAATTTATGCCTTTTTTTTTCTTTTTCTCCATTTTTCAGAACACAGAAATGTGCTCTGGATTATCTGCCTCCTTGTTCTCATTATTTTACCAGGTAAGCTATTCCACAGAATCCCAGAATGGTCAGGGTTAAAAGGGAAATCTGGAGATCATCCAGTCCAACAACCCTGCCAGAACAGGGGCACCTACAGCAGTTGCACAGGATGACATCCAGGTGGGTTTTGAATGTCTCCAGAGTGGGAGACTCCACAGCCTCTCTGGGCAGCCTGTGCCAGTGCTCCACTACCCTCAAAGTAAAGAAGTTCCTCCACACGTTAAGAAGGAACTTCCTATGTTCAAGTTTGTGCCCGTTACCCCTCGTCCTGTCACTGGGCACCACTGAAAAAAGACTGTTCCCATCCCCCTGGCACCCTCCCTTTAAGTATTTATAAGCATTGATAAGATGCCCCCTCGGTCTTCTTTTCTCTAGACTGAAGAGACCCAAGTCCCTCAGCCTTTCCTCATATGAGAGATGTTCTAATCCCCTTATCATCTTTGTAGCTCTTTGCTGGACCCTCTCCAGCAGATCCCTGTCTTTCTTGAACTGGGGAACTGGGGAGCCCAGAACTGGACGCAGTACTCCAGATGCGGCCTCACCAGGGCAGAGTAGAGGGGGAGATGACCTCCCTCGACCTGCTGGCCACACTCTTCTTGCACCCCAGGATGCCATTTGCCTTCTTGGCCGCCAGGGCAGATTGCTGACTCATGGTCATCCTGTTGTCCACCATGTCCATCCTGTTGTTCCCTACCTCAGGAGTTCTCATTACCCAGTTCTTGGCAGTGAGGAATCAAGCCCAGAGACATTTGTGGGCTGGCTTTTTACTCTTCCTTTTTGGGGGAGGACTCCCAATAGCTGCTGTGGAGATAATATTTATGGTGTCTTTGCCTTTCAGCACCTCTCCAGAAAAAGATTGGTAAGTGTGGATGTTTGGGGTTTAGTGTCCTTGCCTGCCCATAATGTAAGATCATTCGTGGAGAAATGACCATGCAATGGTTGTCCTATTCCTGGGGTTGTTCTCCTGGCCCAGCATGCATTTGGCATGGCTGGTGGGATGTTCTCACTATGGGGGGCCCTTGTTGCTGACAGTTTCCACCGTGAAGGCTCTATGTTCTTTGCTATTAAGTCAAGGAAAGAAGTGGTGGTTCATGAGAGAGAATACATCCCGAGGGAGAGGGAACACTGGCCACTGGGAAGTAGGAAACTGCTAGGCTGAATTCGCTGTGAGAGCCCGAAAGAAGAGGCAGGGAGGTAGTGGTAGGGGTACTCAAAATTCTGGCTTGCCAGATGCTAGCAAACAGGAGGTGCGGTGTCCCTCAGCACCTCACATGCCTACGAGTGCACGTGGCTGTGATGTTACTGGGGTTGGGAGCCGTACAGGCTGAGTGTGCAGAGAAGGGGCATTTTTGTGAGGTGTAGGGAGTGGGTGGGAGGGCAGTGGGCCTTAATGACTGCAGGTGCTGCATGCTGCTGTGTCCAGAGCTAATTGAGATACTGTCCCCACTGCTGGCAGCAGCTCCTACCTGCACAGCCCTAATTGTCCTCCCTTCTTTCTCCTTCCTCCACATTTACAGAGGAGCTCCAGTTGCAATACAGGGCAGCACGTGATGCAGATAAGGGTGAGTACAAGCTACACACTGTTGCCACAGCTCAGTGACCAGGAGAGCCCTTGCTGGGGGTGGGTGTTTGCAGAGGTCAAGTCCTCCTTGCTGAAGACTTCCAGTGCTGTGCCGAGAAGGACCACAGTGGGACTGGTGAAGCACAAGCAGCCAGGCAGGGAGTATGGTCTGGGTCTGGCTCCAAAGAGTGCCAGGAGACCAGTACGCGTGCTCTCTGAAAGACGGATGTGCTGTGCCACTGTCCTCCCTTGTTCCTGCTTGAGGATTCATGGGGCAAGACCTCCTTGCAGATCCCAATGGCAACGTTGCTATAAGACACAAGGGCTTTGCTGCTTGTGTCACTCCCATGGTCCCTGGAGGATGATGTTGCCTCCAGTCGTCCTTGGAGTTCTGGTGCTAAGCAAGGTGTTCATTCTCCCCTCTCTTTTCTTACAGAGAAGCAGAAGCAGATTGGTGAGTGTCACTGACGCCCTGGGGGCCACGTCTGCAAGTGGGTCGTGGGATACGGTCCCAGGTTGGGAGAGTGGAGGGCAGGTTAGCCTTGTCCCCATGAGATATAGCCAGGAGAGCCTGCAGCGTGAGTGTGAGTGGTGTCAAGAACGCTGAGAGACAGCTGGGTTTGGGGCAATGTCTCCCTGCTTTCCCTCTGCTTTCTTCAACCAAATGTCCCCACGGAAACGACCTCAAGTGGCAGCCATGGCCATTACAACAAGCAAGATTTGGGTTGACCATGGTGGGGGGCTGGTGGTGTCCAAGCTGGTGGTGTCCAAGCTGGTGGAGGTTTGGTGCAGGCAGGACTGTGAGGGAAGGAGATGTTGAGGGAAGGCCATGGTGTGGCTGATGGGGTGGAGAGCTTTGGTCTCTGACCAGCCCTGGCTCCTGGTAGGGATGTGGGTCTTTGCGGTTAGTGGCAAAAATCCTGGTCAGAGCCACGTCATGAGTAGCTCCAGGGAGCGTGAGCCATCCTCCATGCCAGAGGAGTTTTTCCTCCCTCCCTGGAGTGGACAAGCCCAGAGTGGACTGACTTGCTGGGACCTTGTGGGTCTTGCCCTGACTTCATGTCTTCTTCTCCTCCTGTGACCATGTGACTGGGCAGAGGAGCTGCGTGCAATGAATGGTGAGTCTTTCTGCTTGCCCACCTGCTTTGCTTGCTGGTATAGATGCTGTGGGGTGGGTGAGGAGGGATGCTCCAGCAATGCCAATTTCTCCCCAAGTGCTGCAGTGAAAGACCTTACCAGGTCCCAAGGCCCAACGTGGCAGCTGCTGCTCTGTACTTCGGGCTTTGCCAAGGCAGTGCCTCATCCCTATGACCAGTTGTGGGTTGGCTTTTGCCTCTTCCTTTTATTGATGGATTACCCAATAGCTACTGCGGCGATACTATTTATGGTGTCTTTGTCTTTCAGCACACCTTCAGAGTCAAAACATTAAGTATAATTGTTTGGGGTTAGGTGTCCTTGCTTCCCCATGATGCAAGTTCATTTCTGAAGAGTTGACTGTTCCAGGGTGGTTCTATTCCTGGGGTCCTTGACTGTTCTACTGACCCAGTGTGATTCAGCAGGGCTAGAGGGATGTTCTCATTCCTGGGGGGCCCTGTGGTTGGCGGTCTCCATTGTGAAGGCTCTGTGTCCTTTGATGCTGAGTCAAAGGGAGCGATGGAGGCCCAAGAGAGGCAATCTATCCCCAGGCAAGGAGAACACCTTCCAGGCATGGGCATTGCACTGAGGAGTGGGTGGGAGGGCAGTGGGTCTCACCCCAGTGCAGGGGCTGGATGCAGTTGTTCCCAGAGCCGAGGGAATCCCTGTCCCCACTGCTGGCAGCAGCTCCTACCTGCGCAGCCCTAACTGTCCTCCCTTCCTTCTCCCTACTCTACATTCACAGAGGAGCTCCAGTTGCAATACAGGGCAGCACATGATGCAGATAAGGGTGAGTACAAGCTACACACTGTTGCCACAGCTCAGTGACCAGGAGAGCCCTTGCTGGGGGTGGGTGTTTGCAGAGGTCAAGTCCTCCTTGCTGAAGACTTCCAGTGCTGTGTCGAGAAGGACCACAGTGGGACTGGTGAAGCACAAGCAGCCAGGCAGGGAGTATGGTCTGGGTCTGGCTCCAAAGAGTGCCAGGAGGCCACAACTCTCTGAAAGTGCTCTCTGAAAGACGGATGTGCTGTGCCACTGTCCTCCCTTGTTCCTGCTTGAGGATTCATGGGGCAAGACCTCCTTGCAGATCCCAATGGCAACGTTGCTATAAGACACAAGGGCTTTGCTGCTTGTGTCACTCCCATGGTCCCTGGAGGATGATGTTGCCTCCAGTCGTCCTTGGAGTTCTGGTGCTAAGCAAGGTGTTCATTCTCCCCTCTCTTTTCTTACAGAGAAGCAGAAGCAGATTGGTGAGTGTCACTGACGCCCTGGGGGCCACGTCTGCAAGTGGGTCGTGGGATACGGTCCCAGGTTGGGAGAGTGGAGGGCAGGTTAGCCTTGTCCCCATGAGATATAGCCAGGAGAGCCTGCAGCGTGAGTGTGAGTGGTGTCAAGAACGCTGAGAGACAGCTGGGTTTGGGGCAATGTCTCCCTGCTTTCCCTCTGCTTTCTTCAACCAAATGTCCCCACGGAAACGACCTCAAGTGGCAGCCATGGCCATTACAACAAGCAAGATTTGGGTTGACCATGGTGGGGGGCTGGTGGTGTCCAAGCTGGTGGTGTCCAAGCTGGTGGAGGTTTGGTGCAGGCAGGACTGTGAGGGAAGGAGATGTTGAGGGAAGGCCATGGTGTGGCTGATGGGGTGGAGAGCTTTGGTCTCTGACCAGCCCTGGCTCCTGGTAGGGATGTGGGTCTTTGCGGTTAGTGGCAAAAATCCTGGTCAGAGCCACGTCATGAGTAGCTCCAGGGAGCGTGAGCCATCCTCCATGCCAGAGGAGTTTTTCCTCCCTCCCTGGAGTGGACAAGCCCAGAGTGGACTGACTTGCTGGGACCTTGTGGGTCTTGCCCTGACTTCATGTCTTCTTCTCCTCCTGTGACCATGTGACTGGGCAGAGGAGCTGCGTGCAATGAATGGTGAGTCTTTCTGCTTGCCCACCTGCTTTGCTTGCTGGTATAGATGCTGTGGGGTGGGTGAGGAGGGATGCTCCAGCAATGCCAATTTCTCCCCAAGTGCTGCAGTGAAAGACCTTACCAGGTCCCAAGGCCCAACGTGGCAGCTGCTGCTCTGTACTTCGGGCTTTGCCAAGGCAGTGCCTCATCCCTATGACCAGTTGTGGGTTGGCTTTTGCCTCTTCCTTTTATTGATGGATTACCCAATAGCTACTGCGGCGATACTATTTATGGTGTCTTTGTCTTTCAGCACACCTTCAGAGTCAAAACATTAAGTATAATTGTTTGGGGTTAGGTGTCCTTGCTTCCCCATGATGCAAGTTCATTTCTGAAGAGTTGACTGTTCCAGGGTGGTTCTATTCCTGGGGTCCTTGACTGTTCTACTGACCCAGTGTGATTCAGCAGGGCTAGAGGGATGTTCTCATTCCTGGGGGGCCCTGTGGTTGGCGGTCTCCATTGTGAAGGCTCTGTGTCCTTTGATGCTGAGTCAAAGGGAGCGATGGAGGCCCAAGAGAGGCAATCTATCCCCAGGCAAGGAGAACACCTTCCAGGCATGGGCATTGCACTGAGGAGTGGGTGGGAGGGCAGTGGGTCTCACCCCAGTGCAGGGGCTGGATGCAGTTGTTCCCAGAGCCGAGGGAATCCCTGTCCCCACTGCTGGCAGCAGCTCCTACCTGCGCAGCCCTAACTGTCCTCCCTTCCTTCTCCCTACTCTACATTCACAGAGGAGCTCCAGTTGCAATACAGGGCAGCACATGATGCAGATAAGGGTGAGTACAAGCTACACACTGTTGCCACAGCTCAGTGACCAGGAGAGCCCTTGCTGGGGGTGGGTGTTTGCAGAGGTCAAGTCCTCCTTGCTGAAGACTTCCAGTGCTGTGCCGAGAAGGACCACAGTGGGACTGGTGAAGCACAAGCAGCCAGGCAGGGAGTATGGTCTGGGTCTGGCTCCAAAGAGTGCCAGGAGACCAGTACGCGTGCTCTCTGAAAGACGGATGTGCTGTGCCACTGTCCTCCCTTGTTCCTGCTTGAGGATTCATGGGGCAAGACCTCCTTGCAGATCCCAATGGCAACGTTGCTATAAGACACAAGGGCTTTGCTGCTTGTGTCACTCCCATGGTCCCTGGAGGATGATGTTGCCTCCAGTCGTCCTTGGAGTTCTGGTGCTAAGCAAGGTGTTCATTCTCCCCTCTCTTTTCTTACAGAGAAGCAGAAGCAGATTGGTGAGTGTCACTGACGCCCTGGGGGCCACGTCTGCAAGTGGGTCGTGGGATACGGTCCCAGGTTGGGAGAGTGGAGGGCAGGTTAGCCTTGTCCCCATGAGATATAGCCAGGAGAGCCTGCAGCGAGTGTTAGGAATGCTGAGAGACAGCTGGGTTTGGGGCAACGTCTCCCTGCTTTCCCTCTGCTTTCTTCAACCAAATGTCCCCACGGAAACGACCTCAAGTGGCAGCCATGGCCATTACAACAAGCAAGATTTGGGTTGACCATGGTGGGGGGCTGGTGGTGTCCAAGCTGGTGGTGTCCAAGCTGGTGGAGGTTTGGTGCAGGCAGGACTGTGAGGGAAGGAGATGTTGAGGGAAGGCCATGGTGTGGCTGATGGGGTGGAGAGCTTTGGTCTCTGACCAGCCCTGGCTCCTGGTAGGGATGTGGGTCTTTGCGGTTAGTGGCAAAAATCCTGGTCAGAGCCACGTCATGAGTAGCTCCAGGGAGCGTGAGCCATCCTCCATGCCAGAGGAGTTTTTCCTCCCTCCCTGGAGTGGACAAGCCCAGAGTGGACTGACTTGCTGGGACCTTGTGGGTCTTGCCCTGACTTCATGTCTTCTTCTCCTCCTGTGACCATGTGACTGGGCAGAGGAGCTGCGTGCAATGAATGGTGAGTCTTTCTGCTTGCCCACCTGCTTTGCTTGCTGGTATAGATGCTGTGGGGTGGGTGAGGAGGGATGCTCCAGCAACACCAACTTCTCCCCAGGTACCATATTGAGACACCCTTCCAGATCCCAAGGCTCAACATGGCAGCTGCTGCTCTGAGCCTTGAGCTTTGCCCAGGCAGTGCCTCACAAGCTTTTGTGGGTTGGCTTTTGCCTCTTCCTTTTATTGATGGATTACCCAATATCTGCTGTGGCGATACTATTTATGGTGTCTTTGTCTTTCAGCACACCTTCAGGGGCAGAATGTTAAGTATAGTTTTTGGGGAATTTGTCCTTGCCTCCCCATGATGCAAACTCATTTCTGAAGAGTTGACTCTTCTATGATTATCCTATTCCTGGGGTCCTGCATGTTTTTGTAGAGGCCAAATCTGTCTTGCTGTATTAGACCCATGCTTTTCCCCCTGTCTTCAGTGGAGTCAAGATGCTGTTCTAATCAAGGTTTCCTCCCTTCCTCCCCTCCTCTTGTAGAGAACCTGGAAAAGAAGATTGGTGAGTGTCATTTTCTCTCTGGACACTGTATGAGTCAGCTTATCGTGAGGTTTTCGGGACTTCATAGTGTGTTGCTTGTGGTGTTCTGGCTGGTGGAGGCTTTGGTACTGGAAGAAGATTTAGTGAAAGATATGTAGAGAGAAGGCTGAGATGGGGCTGATGGGGCTGGAGAGCCTCAGCCACCAACCAGCCCTGGGGCTTGGTGGCAAATTGGGTGATGATGGGGTATTGAAGAGATCCCTGCCAGAGTCAGAAGTCTTTCTGTTTGCCTGCATGCTTTTATGTTTATTGTCATTGAAAGTCGTGTATATTTTGCTCTCCACATGCCTTGGAAATATGTCACCTGAATCTTCAGGAAGCTGTTTCCATTATGAAGCCAAAACTAATCCATGGGAATAACCCCCAGTAGCTCATAGGGTCCTCTTTATAGAGGCTGTATTCTTCATGTGTCCTTTAGTTACCTCCAGCTTTAATGTCCTGGCTCTACTTTTACGTCTGTTCCCCTCTGGTGTGCAAAAGAATACCTGATATCTCTTGTGCCTCAGCCTCTAATCAGAAAAGATCCTCCTTGCATTCATAGGAAGAACAAGGAATGACTGTGAATGTCATGCAGATCTGACTACATGGAAACCTAGAGTGACTCCAGAAATAGTGGGTTAAAATATGGCTGAACTTTGAACTGTATCTAGAGTCATCCTGTAGTGCTACAAAATACTGATGTATAATCCATCATAACTTTTTCTTTCTGTGCATTTATCCTGTTTGCAGTGGATCAGAAGAAAGAAATTGGTAAGTCATGATTGTCAATTAAGTCCCTTAAACCTAGTGAAAGTGAAAGTCTGAAGAGAGGAAGGGAAGGTTCTTGTTTTACGAGAAAATGAATTTAGAGCTTGTAACTCCTGGGGATCCAAAGCCTTCCCTTCATGAAGTTCCAGGTGCACATCTCACACCAGTCTGTTCACATGCTCAGACATTGATTCAAAACTTGACATTTTTCACATACAGATGCCTACCCTTGAGCTAATCCCTTAAGATCACATCTCAGGACTTCATGATCCTATCCTGCTGGGTCATCCTTTCATCTCTCACACAGAAAAGCTCATCTGTTTCTGCCCAAACCTGTAATAATTGCATGGCCCAGAAAACTCACCAGGAAGTGCACTCCCTCCTCCCTTCAAAGACTAGGGAAAATTCACATAACTTGTTCCTTTGCATGCATCCCCGCCTGAGAAATACACTAAATGTGGCTGAAATTTATTTCCGTGAGTGTCACAAAGGGGACTGTCTCTTACTGCGTCCCTGGAAATGCTGGGCTGCTGACCAGGGATGATGCGGACTGTGGCTGGTGAGGCATCCATGTAAAATGCCAACAAGGCAGCAAACTGGCACCTGAGAAGGAAAGTTAGTTGCCAAGCAGGAAACTCATCCCAGCTTCATATCCTTATTCAGACCTTACAGGTAATCACAGGGCTTGAGAGAGCAAGAGGGAATTTGAGTGTCAGTTTACCTTAGACTCAGTCTGAGATTTCCTGACTTGGAGCTGGGAAATCTTTTCAGTCAATGTTTGAAGTTTGGGTTTTCTTACCTTTTTTTTTTTTCTTTCTTTTTTTTTTTTCTTTTTCTCCCCCCTCATTTTTTTTTTTTTTTTCAGAATTCAGAAAGGCTCGTGGCAACGCAGGTAAAATAATGTATTTAATTATGTTCGTACTCAATGGCTTGAAATCTGAATACTCCAGAAGCAGTGCTGAGCATGGACTGGACTGTGAGTCTACAAATGCCTTTTATTCCAGGGATATGGAGATATTTCACTTGGCAGTGAAATATTTGAACGTTGAAGTGTAATTTATATGTCTGAGCACAGTCCTTCACTCCAGGCTTAAAGGTCTTTCTAGACCGGTTGTAGGGAGATCTTCAGAATGAAATGCAGTACAGTACAGCTTCCTTTTCTTCTTGTATATTTGCTTTAAAAGAGTGTTTGTAAACCCCCAAATTTCTTTTTTTTTGTAGATGACATCAATGTTGATGAGGACACAGCCCATCCAAACTTGTCTATTGATGTGGACAAGAAGAGTTTTACACATAAATCAGAGGTCCAGAAAATGGCTCAAACTGAAAAGAGTTTTGATTCAGCTGTCTGTGTGCTGGGCCCAAAAGGTTTCTCCTCTGGAAAGCATTACTGGGAGGTGGATGTTGAAAAAAGCAACGACTGGGACCTGGGAGTAGCTGGAAAATCCGCTCCAAGGAAAGGAATAATATCTCTGTTACCTAAAGAACAATTCTGGGTTCTGGGCTTAAGTTTTAAAGGTTACTGGGCAAGAACTGATCCATGGACACAGTTAGCAGTGCAGAAAAAACCCAGGAAAGTCGGAGTTTATCTTAATTGTGAAGAGAAAATGTTGACTTTTTTCAACGTTACTGACATGTCTGTGATGTTTACATTTAAAGACTGTGCATTCTCAGAAGAATTGTATCCCTTCTTTAAAAACTCACACAAAGATTCAACCATGAGAATTTGTTCAGTTAAAGAGGAATAATTTTTTTAACATAGTAATTTTGCTGTGAAATGAAAAATATATTTCTTAGACAAACTGAATGTTTAATTGCAATTTATGTATTACACATTCTTGATCCCCTTCTGTGTTACGCATTGTTTAATACCTTAGCTTAAAATATTTTCCTTTCCCCCGCCCTTTTCTATACGCATTTTGTCCAATACTTGCAGCATGTGTGCAGAAGTGAGCTCTCCCATGCCACAGTTTGGTAAAGGACATGTTTATCTCAGTTATAATTTCTGTAGAGTTTTTTTCTGACAATAATTTTAGTCCTTACAATGCATTTCAGTGATAGTCATTCTCTGAGGTTTCATTCTGGACTGCTACACTGCATATGTTGTAAGACATACAAAGCCCAATTTCAGGTCATGAATTCAAATACACACACCCCAACAAATACACAGCACCCCATAAGTGTAACCTTTCTCCATCACTCTTCTGGATGGAATTCTCAGAATTTTGGAGGAAAAGAAAAAAATATTTTTAAGACAGAGTAATTTAAAACATTGTAATGTGTCTACACTTCACTTCTTGAGTGGAGAATTTGCCATCTGTCCTTGAAGAAGAGTCTAAGAGAGGCAACATAAATGGACTTTAATGCAGTGCTATAGTTCTCAGTCATGCTTTGAACCACTGTGGTAGAGCAACATGCTCTCTTAGTGCATAAATGGCCCCAAAAGAGCTGTCTACTCTGCAAGATCTGAGTCATAATGATAGAATGGTTTAGGTTGGAAGGGACCTTAAAGATCATCTAGTTCCAATTCTCCTGCCTTGGTCAGGGACACCTTCCACTAACTCTTCACCAGTTAAAATGCATTTTAGTTACCTAAACATAGACATCCATTGCTGTTTAAGATTCTTTCATGCATTCAAGAGATCTACATGGGGCTGGTCATACAGCACAAGGCTTGTGGGAAACATGCACTTTTCTGAAGTGTCAGCTGGAGACCTCCTGAGACAGAAATGACAGCAGATGTTGAAGGATACTTGTTTCCAGGCTATCATGGTTATTTTCTCTGAACAGTCCTTCCTTCTGTGGAATTTATGCTTACTAGCTTTTGCATCACGTAGGTGGAAGATAATTTATTCCTTCATTTTTGCATCAGTGATCTCAGGGTATATAGCTACATTTATACAGAGGGTGTAGACCTCAGTGGAGCCTGATTCAATACCCATCTTGTTTTTCAATGAATGTCACTGGTAAATTTTGAGTCAATTTTTAGCTAGGATTTGACTTGCATTAATATTACATCTCCACTGACTCTTTACACAAGTGTCTCATGATACAAATCCACGGTCTTTCCATAAGGTGAGAGTCAGTCTGAAACAAAGACCTAAATGTAGGTGTCCATATATGAACTAGGTATCTATATTTAATTATAGTTAATGGAGTTCTAAGCTGTGATTCATTTGCCTAAACATAGATGTCTACTGCCAGTTCACGCCTGTCAATATATCTGAGACTGGCAGAGGTGACACAAGACTCATGGAAGACCCATGTCTTTTTGGGTCCCTCTGGCATCGTTTCCTGCAAATCTGTTTATAGCTGAAGTAGTTTTGTTCCTACTGATTTTTGACAGACAAAATATCCATTGGATATAAAGTCCAGTTGACCAACAAGCAGACTGTTATCTAAGGAACACACAAAATGCTAGTGCCCTTGGATCAACAGACAAATCACTCCAAACCCATGGCATAACAAACAGAGGCAAAGCAACCTGATGGCCTGGTTATGTTGAGTCTTCACTCAACTTTCTAGTTACGTGAACATCTCCAATTTTTTATTCTTGATCATAAACTCTATAACATCATTAGGGATGAGAGTCAGACAGCACTGGAGTTTCCAAGATCCTTTCTAGAAACCTGTTTACACATAAGATTTGGAACGACAGCCTGCCACTTCTCCAGCTGTGTAGTTCTTTGTAGTCACAGGTTACATTGCTCTTCTTCCCGTGGGTGTGTCTTAATGCACGTCAGAAACAGCAAATACAGTGAGCCAAGTTCTGGTAAACACAAAGCTACCTAATTCATGGAGTCGTGGATTTGACGGATGAACCACACACTGGATAAGGAATTGACTGGATAGTAGCACTCAAAGAGTTGCGGTCAATGACTCAATGTCCAAGTGGCGACCAGTGATGAGTGGTGTTCCTCAGAGGTTGGTAATGGAACCAGTGCTGTTTCACAGTGAGAACAATCAGCCACTGGAAAAATCTCCCCAGGGAAGTGGTGGATTCCCCAACATTGGATACTTTTAGAGCCATAGATTCATGGAATCTCAGGTTGGAAGGGACCTCAGGGATCATCTGATCCAACCTTCAGCTGGGCAGGGTGCTGGGCTATCTTGTCTAGACCGTGCTTTTGCCAAGAAAGGTTGGTCCCCTCCCTTTGCTTTAATGTATTTCTCCCATTTCATGGTTGGTCATTTTTCAGGGCATTGGTCACTTTGAGTAATTGTCACATCTCATAGCAATGCTATGAGATGAACCAGCGCCCTGATTGTTGTTTCAGCTATTCAAGCAATTTCTGTTTCTAAGTGGTGGGATTTAGCTAACTTCATCGTTAACAGTGGCTTCAGCTTACCCTGAATTAGAGGTGATATTCAGCTTGCAAATTAAGCAACTTCATTCTGGGTGCCTGTACTGGATTTATGTGGCAAGCTTTTGGTAGGTGGGGGAGCTAGAGGTGGCTTTTGTGAGAAGATGCCAGAGGCTGGCCCCTGTCTAACAGAGCCAGTTCTAGTTGTCTTCTAGATGGACCCATCACTGGCTAAAGATAAGCCCATCAGTGACATTGGCAGCACCTCTGTGATAACACTTAAGAAAGGTTAAAAAAAGTGCTGTGCAGCAGCAGCTCTGAGAGAGAATGAGAAAATGTGAGAAACAAACCTGCAGACACCAAAGTCTGCAGGGGGGGAAGAGGTGCTCCAGACTCCAAGCAGAGATTCCCCTGCAGCCTGTGGTTGTCCATGGCGGAGCAGATATTCACCTGCAGCCCATGGAGGACCCCACGCTGGAGCAGGTGGGTGTGCCCGAAGGAGGCTGTGACCTCATGGAGACCCCATATTAGAGGAGGCTCCTGGTAGGACCTGTGGCCCTGTGGAAAGGGGTCCATGCTGGAGCAGGTCTTCTGGCAGGACCAGTGGCCCCATGGGTGACCTACACTGGAGCAGTCCATCCCTAAAGGACTGCACCTCATGGAAAAGACACATGCTGGAGCAATTCATGAAGAACTACAACCCAAGGGAAGAACTCATGTTGGAGAAGTTCTTGAAGGACTGTCTCCTGTGGGATGGACCCCCATGCTGGAGCAGGGAAGAGTGTGAGGAGGAAGGCATGGCAGGTACAATGCACTATGAACTGACCACAACCCCCATTCCCCTACAATGCTCAGGGAGAGGATATAAAGAAGTCAGGAGTGAAGTTGAACCCAGGAAGAAGGGAGGGGTGGGCAGAAGGTGTTTTCTAAGATCTGATTTTATTTCTCATTATTCTACTCTGATTTGATTGTCAATAAATTGAATTAATTTCCCCAAGTTGAGTCTGTTTTGCCCGTGGCAGTGATTGCTGAGTGATCTCCCTTTCCTTATCTCGACGTATAAGCCTTTTTTAAAGTTTTCTCCTGCTATCCAGTTGGGGAAGGAGAGTGATAAAATGGCTTGTTGGGCACCTGGTGGCCAGCCAGGGTCATCTCACCACACCGCCTATGTGTGAGCATGACTCCAGCTACAGACAGTATGGAATAGGATGTCATTCAGTTGCCTAAAGACAGTTATCTATTGCCACTCAAGATGCCATGTCACATCTTCCCTCATCAGCTGCTGCTTCAGGAGGGTCTAAGAATCCCATAAATCCCATGCTCTGATAGCCCCGTGGGAGCTCAAATTGCATTGGACTTCTGCATTTGGGCAGCTGAATCTAACTCTTGACTCCCATTCCTTAAATCAAACTAACTTAACCAACTGCTTACATATAAGCAACAGTTCCTGAGTTTTATGTGATCTGTGGATTACATCCTTATCACTTAACATCTCTAAAAGCAGATCTCCGAAAAGGCTACTTGCATTTAATAGTTCACAATGTGATTGTTATTCATAGTTTTCTGACTTTGTATAAAATTTGAAATTTGCAGTCATACACTTCCTGGTAATTGTTCTGATAGGTTTATTAGTTAAAAATGAATACACAACAAATACTGAAATAAATCCATGTTTGTTTAGTCCAGGTAGAATGAAATAAAATTGCAACATTTGACAGGTGTGGGTTTTTATTCATTCTTAGTACAATATGAATCCCTACGAAGTACTTCAGAGACTATTTCTTTCTTGACTATGGTTTTAAAAGCCGATATTCCTTTTTTTTTTTTTTTTCCCTTTCTCTCTGCTTCCACATCCTCTCTGATTCCCTATATTATTAATTTATTAATCTTCTCCTGGCCCTGTGGAAGGATGTCACAGAGAGGGTAATGTGTTTTTAGTGTACACAGGGCGTACTCCCAACCATTTGCCATCAGAGCCTGGACTGAAGAATGGGTACAGATTCCCAGAGAACTCAAAAGAAAGAGACTCGAGAAGACACTTTTCTTCAACATCAAAGAATGAAAGCATGCCATCTACCTGATCCAGGAAAACACCTACCACCCTGCAGGGCATGCAATTTCTGACAGCTTTCCCATCAGTTAAACTGTATTGTTCCTGAGAAAACTGCAGACTGAATAAATTCCCCTTTGGGAAAGTATTCACTGTGTTGTTCCTCAGTGTAGTTCTAATTTTCTCACATACCACACCCAGCTCCCACTCTGATTTGTCCCCCACCTCCACTTCCCAGTAATGTTTCTTTTCTGAAAACCCTTCAGTAGCTACCACCACCACTTTGGGCAAGCTCTCTTTTTGGGTTGAGGACATGACTCTGTTTTTCTCCTTAATGATGAGGCTGGGATGTTTGCAATTCTCATCCAGAGTGATATTAACTTGAGAAAGGGAGGAGAAAAAAAAGAAAAAACAAACAAACAACAAAGAGCCATGTTATTTCTGTTTTTCAGGAAAATAACAGTAATCTCAAAGGAAGTGAACAAAGGAGAGAAAAGATAAAATAAAATAAATTAATAATAAAACAAAAAAAGAAACAAACAGCTAAATACCCCAGGAATATACAGTGTGCTTTTGTCAGACAAAACCTCAATAGCAGAAATAATATCCAGCAGGGCATGCCTCTTCTCTGGCTTCACTGTGCCTTTATTAATTCACTTTTGCTCTGACTGACGGGATCCAGGGTCTCTGGTCAGACCCATTTGGCAGCCAGACTTTTTGGAACAAAGCACAAAGTTGAATCTCTCAAAGACACATAACACGTAAAAAGGTCCTAGTTGGTACGGAAACAATTCACCCCAACTCATGACACCAAAAACTGTGTGGGTGGGAAATGCCTAAAAAAACCTAGTTGTCTCTTTCAATCAATGGGCTTCAAAATTTCCCCAAATTCTGACAGCCTGTGAGTTTTTCATGACACGAGGGATAGACTCTGGTATGTGCATGAAAGAACATGAGGTTAACGGAAGGTGAGACTTGGCTTACCTGCATAGCTCTGAGCTCTTCTGAAGTCTGCAAGAAAAGAAATGAATGATTAATTAAAATTAGTGCAGAATGTTAATATGCCTTATTTTAGTACAGTATGGGGTTGGAGGGGTGTGGATTTGATAAAATTCATTTTCAGCTTTTAACTCACCCAGTTCTTTCTGGACTATTTCTGAAAAGGACAGAAAGTCATGTTATCCTCATGCATGGTGTAAGAGTTGATGAGATCAGCGTTGTCTCAACATTTTCATCAGCAACTAGGCCCCCAAAACCTGGGCTAACAGCTTGACATGGGTTTGCAGCACTTGCTGGGCTGGCTGTCATGAGACTTAGAGAAAGGACTGAGGTGTGACCATTGTACGTGGGTACGAGCCATGTCGATATCATGGTACGAAAGTACAGACAATATCAGAACACGGTACAAGCCTATTCTACTGGAGCACCAAAGCGAAGAACTGCTGTCGAAGAAGATGGACCGCACTGGCTGTGCCAGCATAGATGAAATAATCTCAAATCTCAGTTGAACTTTCCTCACTATAATGTCATTATAATACAAAACCACACCTCCTGGTAAGAAGCTACCCGCCTCCAAAGCTGACCACACCTCAGACACTCCTCTCCGGGCATGCGTGGAAGCCTTACTCCAGACAGGCGGAGATTGGCACCTTTCCACGGGACAGAGGTGGAGTGGAGGTGGGTCCAAGGAGGAGCAAGGTGTGCTACCTAGCATAAAAGATGATTCCTCAACAACTGATCTCCCGAAGATCTTCCCCACTGAAAGACCACGACGGTTGACGAAGAAGCAGCGGAACACCTTCTGGATTCGGGATCACTGGGATGCCTGTGGTAGCTATAATCCTCTTTCCCCCCTTTTTACTTCATCTTTCCTATTCTTCTTGTTTTCTATTGCAAGCCACTTTACAGGCAAAACCAATAAAGGGATTGTGTGTTGAAAGCATAACTCCCCGGGCCTGATGCCATTTCTTTTTGCGCTTCGAGATCACAGCTGAAACGAACCATCATGCGTCTACCGAGGAGTGGACCGTGACACATGGCAAGGCTCTGCTGTAGGGTGTCTGTGCTAATAAAAGTATTTCCAAGTATACTTAAGTATAATCAGGCCTAGGATTTGGGAAATTATGCTAGCTTAACTTTGGAGGGCTGGAGCTTGTCTAAACCCAAGCTAGTCAGCTGGGCTCTGTGTAGAGTCAGGAGAAAGAGAATGGAACATCAGAAAGTGTTTCTTCTCTGCTCTTTCAACCACCTATCTGAAACTGCTCCTGGATGCCTTCATCTCTCTATGAGGGAGCCAAGAATACTTAGCCTTAGCCTTAATAGCCAAAATTTAGATAACTCTTTAGGTGAGCTGAATCACCTGCAGGTACAGGACCTGTGGCCATGCTTCCGTACCCTGTCAGATGACAAACGGGAGCTTGACATGGCCAACAAAAATGCGTATAAAAGTTTTTTGATTTTTGTTTTTTTTTTACTTGCTTTCAAAAATATCAGTTTGTTTGTAGGGAGTAAAATCTGTTTTCTACTCGACTACAGCAAAAATTAAATACTTAAAGGACTGAAAAGATATTCCCTTGTTATGGAAACAGACGTTCTGGAGTCCAAGATTGTGTCAGATAAACACTGGTTTTTGGAGACAACTAAGTCTAAGTGTGGGAGAGAACAAAGTGCTGCAATAGCCCTCAAACACTGGCACAGTTCAGTTCCATTTCTGATCAGAAATAATTTAAATCATTTTTAAGGACCAAAGTTAACTTCATATTCTTACCAATTTTGGACAACATATCCTGACATGCTACAAAGAAACAAAATTAAATTAAAAGTTAGGATGACTAGATCAGGCAAATTATGGCACATTCACTATGCATTTTGGAATACTAATATATAGGTTATCTACATATATAGGATTAATCTATTTATCTTTGTAGAATAATAAACAGGCATTATATAAGTTTTCTCTGGTATTAGATGATGTGTATTAAATATTCCTCCCAAGGAACAAATACCTCCCAAGGATATTTACAGTTCCTGAAGCATCATAAGAGAAGAAGAGTAAAAACTCTCTCAATAACGCAGAAGTTGAATATATTCATCTCTTGTACACAAATAGAACCCAGTGTTATCCTTTATCTGGTTCTTAGCTTCACCTGTGGTCACAGCTTGTCACA